ACTTAACCGGATCGGCCGAAAAATCATTCGGTCAATTTTTATCAGGTGTTCCAGGAATTATGAAAGTAGCAGTAAGAGAACAGCTGTAAGTATAGTTTTCGATAATATAATTTTCGGCCGGTACAAAACATACTGCAAAAGTATACCGGCCGAAAATTATATTATCGAAAAACTATTATCGTTATCGAAATTTGGATGATCATCGCAAAATTCATCACGTGTCCCACTAATTTCAAATCAGCTGTAATGCAACTTATTGGATCTTTTTTTTTAAGATAGCAATTGTTCGTAATTCAATAGCAATATATATACAGTGACTGTGCCATGATTACGTCACTGACACTTTAGGGGCCGCCTTGGCTGCCTCGTAAATTTTGACGAAAACAATGCATAGAAATGATAATGACAGTGTACAGTGTTCCACTGTGAAAATATCTGGAACCTAGAATATAACACTACCTCATCAATCTTAATAAAATCTTCAGTTTGATTTTCTTTGTTTTTTCTTGTAATATTATACATTTTAAGCATTATTGAATTCAATTCTTTTTCTTGGATTTCATATTCCTTTTTTAAGTTCATATATTCTTCTTTTATACGCGTAGCTTTCATGAAATCTAATAAAGATCCTTGTAGGCTCGATAACTCTTTTACAAATTTCATAATCTTGTATAAAAACTTTTCATAATTATGAAAGGTTTTCTGATATCCAAAAAATTGTTCATATTTCATTTGTCGCAGAATTTCCAGGTGCTCTGTCAAGGAATTGAAATTCCCAAATAACTTTTTGCCTCTGACAAGATTTTGACTTATCTGGCAAATTTCATCATTTGTTTTTCCTATCTTCCCAAGTCCCATGATAGAATGTGTTTTATTAATCAGTAATTTATATATATACCAATGATATAGCAATAGTTTTATTATTTTTTTTCTAATACCACGAAAAAAATTAATATAATTATTCGTAGCCCTTATACGTTAAAGGCTTAACATCTCCAGTTGTTTGATGTAGTCACACGAGTTCCAATTTTACAGCATGTACCGTAAAATTACAGAAATTTTGTGTAATTTCGTAGTAAATTCCAGTAAATTATCAATTTTGAGCAAATGATATCGACATGTAGTTTGTGAGATCAAATTTTCGGCGATTTGGGAATGCAGTTCGAATAATAACCGGTACTTATATATAACGTGATATAAAATTACATGAATTTGATTTATTGAAATCCACTATTGTAAAAATTGTAACTTCGTAACACAACCCTAAGTATAACAAAATACACTGCGATTGGCCCATTCATAGACAGAAGTTTTCTTGATTGGCTGGTGTAAATCAATTATAGATGTTATTGGCTCATTCTATATTCATTAATCGGTTTTTATAGTAGTCATCAGTTGCCTGGGTAACTTATTTATATGTTTTACGTACGGTACAGGAAACTTAAAAACCTCAATCTTTTTTCTATATAGAGATAATGCATAAACTAGCGCATTGAAAATAAGCTTTTTCTCAATCTCAATAAAGTGAAGGATTGAAAATTCACAATCTCTTTGCATAGAAATAATACGCCAAAGAATAATATGTATAGTATGGGAAATTTAAAAATCTCAATCTCCATGTTAAGATAATGCATAAACTAGTAGCTCATTGAAAATAAATTTCTTGAATTATCAATCTCAATAGAGAGATGGCCATATAAATAATATTCCTAGAATAATATGTACTTAATAGGAGCTATTTATGCATACGGCTGAAACTTAAAATACTAAAATAAGCCGCTACTGAATTTAGCATATCTCCAATGTACGTACGTACGTACGTGATCTTTATTCTATATAAAGTAATTGAGATTTTTAGATTTCCTGTACCGTACGTACGTACGTCCTTTTTGTGAACGTA